CTCTCACTGACTCCACCTGCCCGGCTCCCCAAGGCAGGAGCAGCGCTTAACCAGATGTTCACTAAATGTGTACAAGGTTCACGCCTCAGGACATAATGGGATCATAGGGACAGAGAATCAAATCGGGAATTCAGGCAGAGTTAACAAAGTTCATCTGGTATGTAAAAGGCCTGGACCTACATCAGAAGGAATACCCCCCTTTCTACAGCCAAGGGGTTATAGAGAAGAAATGGAGTTGGAAAGCGAGCATGGGATAGCCCCTTCTATAGACAATGGCAGGGGATCAGAGATAGAGCCTGCCAATATTGGCCTGGCACACTAGACAAGAACAAGGATGAAGGAGGAAATGAATGGAAAGAGGAGACTGCTGAAGAGCCCCAAATTGAGAGTCAGGGCGACCAGAGTAGTAGAGGCTTGTATGAAGTGCTCCTTGCCTCAGAGCTGTCCTGGGTGGCGGATGGGGAGGGCTGTGAGGGGAGGGGGGAGGGCAGGGAGGGACTGCCCAGCTGGAAGAGGCCTTGTCTAATTGTGCCTGATTAGTAGAGAGGAAGGGAACAGGGCGAGTGATTAATAGTCACCAGCGTGTGGGGAAGGAGGATTGGGAGGGGGAGGGAAGCCTGAGAGCCAAGAGGGGATGGAGAGACGGTGAGGTACATACCCACAGGGCTTTGGTCTCCTACCCTTCTAGGGGCTATCTGTACTTTTGATCCTGGGGAATCCCCTGGGGGGACCTGGGACCTGCCCCCACTCCCCAAGGGATTCTCTCCTCCTTCCTGCCTCAATTTTCAGGCAGAGGCATGGAAGAGAAGAGACCAAGGTCATGTCCGCCACTGGGAAAAGAAATATCTGCATTCACATGATGCTTTCAGCCGCCCCAAAGCTCCCAACCCCAACACACTGGCCCTGCCCTCAGCTTAACCTGGAGCCTAGCTTGCCTTCTAATCGCAGCCCACAAAGCATCATCATAAGCACATCCTTTAGTCCCATCAGTAATTCTAGCCCTGCCTCAGCCAGGCAATCTGAACCTTATTCACCACTATGTTGTCCAACATGCACCAGTTGCACATGCCAGGTCACATTTAAAGGTTCAACAGCCATGCGTGGCTAGCGACTACCATGTTGGACAATACAGACATAGGATGTTTCCATCACCACGGAAGGTTTATGGTCTAGCACTGATCTATACAGTACATGCACATATGTTCATGCATATGCTTGCTTGGGAGGCCTGTAACTGCAGAGAGGACAGTGAGGGTTGAGGGCCATGGAGGGGGGCAAGACTAGGGGATGAAGAGCAGTGTCGTTCAGGAACAGGGATCAGAAACCATCGGGTGATGCTGGGAACGGTGAGGTTAAAAGATGGTCAGGAGCTGAGGTGATGGTGTTTGTGACAACCGGCACTTGCAGAGGGCATACCGTGTGCATGCCAGACAGTGTGCCACACTCCTTTCCTGCTTCTTGCCCTCAGGCCCTCCCTATGGCCTATGTAATGAATACACAAAGGGAAACTCATGGAAGCATTTTTGGTATCCTCAAGGCCACAAAATTGAACAGAACTCAGGTTCGAGTTCACACGAACAGACAGTTCTGGAACTCACACACAGTGAGTGTACAGTCCTGTCCCCCTCCCCCCACTGCTTTTAGAGCCACCTTTGCATTGTACAGACCAAGCACTGAAGGCTAGGGAGAAAGCGATTGCCTCCTACCAAGCCTGTGAGTGGGCCAGTATGTGGGGCTTGACACACAGTTGGGGGATAGAAGGAAGGGAGAGCCCTACAGTGGGAGGGGATGGGATGGTGTCGAAAGTATGAAGTAGAAATAGGATTGAGCTGGTGTGAGGCCTGGTGGAGGAGAAAAGGGAAGAGAAAATCCAGGGGCCTGCGTGGAGGACAGGGGTGTGGAAAAGTCCCATGGCACTGCACCCTCAGAAATCTTGCATGTCTCCTCTCCTCTCTTCCCCTCTCCTCTGCTCTCCTCTCCAGGTGGCTGCCCTATCCTTAAGCCTCCCCAGCCCTCTTTTAGCCCAGAGTGGCCTCTCTCTCTGAACTCGGGCTCTTACCATCCATGTACCTCATCTGGCGATTAATCCTGGCACCTTATGACATTGCTTGCATGGCTGATTAACTCTTGCATGCTTGTTTAAGCTTTTGAGCACCCCTGTCTCTGTTCTTCCACGAGACTGAAGGCATCTTGAGGACAGGGGCTGAGGATTAGGGCTTCCCTTCTTTGCTATCCCCCATAGGTCCTAGCAAGGAACCCAACATGCATAGCTACACAGAACAGCAATCCGAGTGGCTGACTAGGAGTAAATGAAGGGATATTTGGGAGCGTGGGGGTGAAGAGTGATTTCAGTGGTACCAGAAGCAAGAGCAGAAGCTTAGGGGACTGGGGGAGGGCACATTACCCAGAGTAAAAATAGGCTGGAAAATGTGACATTTATTAACTTGGATTCCGGAGGAAAGGTCACAGCAGAGTGGGGAGTGGGAAGGAGGAAACAGGGAAAGCAACGGAAAACACATAATGGTCCCTTACCGAAGCCTGTCTGTCACAGTCACTGACCATTTCACCACCCATTCCCTGGCAGGTGCTACCGCAAACAACTCCCATTTTCATCTCCTTACCAAAGACCCTCACATCTCCATCAAGGAGCCCACATCCTCACCACGGGGCTGATTATGGACCTCATGTCCTCACCCGAGGCCTCCAGTCTTCGTTCCCTCCTCCAGTCTCACTCAGGCAGCACATCCAATCTTCTCCATCGCCATGGGCCCCAGCCCGGTCCCTAACTGTCTCAGACTCCAGGTCCAGGGGGAATAACATGCAGCAGGTGGGGGATGGGGTGTGGGCAGGAGGTTATGAGTCTAGACTAGGTGGACATGGGTGAACAGGAACCCCAGGAGGTGAATCCTGTCCCCCCCCCCGGGGGGGCTTTCTTTGCCTCAATTGCACTGATGTTTCTGGGACAGCCCCACAGCAGAGATCTACAAGATTTGACCCTCCCTCTCCAGCCCCAGGGTACCAAAGGACCTAGGAAAAGCTATCCTTGCCCCCACTTACCCCTGTTATCCCCAGGATTCCAGAGACTCTTAGCTGGGATCAAGGGAATCCCTGTCCCTCAATTCTCTGAACACCTCTTACCCTAACAGAAACCTTCTGTCACCTTCCCTTCACTTCCTAAGTGCCCTCCGCCTCTCCTCCATTGATGTGTGTCATCATTACTCTTCTCCTTTCCTGCCCACCCCAACTAGAGCTAAGACACAAACTCAGGGACACAAAGACCCCATTGATTTCTGCCCCAGCAGCACTTGCTGAGACGGAGTTCCTCCCCAGCCCCCATCACAGAGGGGTGAGGCTGCAAGGCAGGGGTCTCATGGGTCCCAAAGTCCACATCCACACTCTGTGCATCACTTCCTCTTTAGGTTTGGGAGAGCAGTATTTTATTTTCCTAGAAGACCGAGTGTTTAGCTCGACAACAGGCTGGTATTCCCTAATCAACTCCTGGTACAATCTCCTTCCTCCTGCCCCTCTTTTCATGTTAATTCCTCCCACCCACTGAGCCCACCCACACAACCCAAAGCAAGAGGCCCTAAGGGGCTGGGACCAGGGACCTGGTTGATGCACGCTTCCTGGTAACACCAGGGCAGTGAGGGTGAGCTTGTGGACAAGGGGCCAGGCTCTTAAGAGGGAAAGTACCCATTGCTGCTGGAGGCTGGGTGTGAGTGGGCACCAGGTCCACACCACACATTTGCTCATATGCCAGGCAATAGTCACAAGGTTGCAACCTCACACACATAAAGACGGACATGGACGGGGGACCCGGGACAGGCATCTCAAGCACATTGTGAATAATAGCTTGTGAGTGTGGGTGAAAAGAACCCTGACAGAGTCCAAGACACGCCCTCCACACTCACACCTGACTGTGGGGGGGTGTGTACGCATGGCAGGCAGGGCTGACACCCCACTTCCGGTGAGGGTACATGTTTTTGTGTTCACATACGTGGGGGCGATGGTGACAGACAGTTGTCCCTGCGTGGAGAATGGAGGGAAGAGGTTGGGGTAGGGTTGTCAGGAGTTGGGATGACATCCTAAGCAGGACTCCATCCTTGGTAGCTATGAGATGGGGTACAGGCATGGAATGAATAGCTCTCTGGGTGTGTGGGTGTGCAGGTGTGCATATGGGTGTAGTGGCAGGGACACTGAATGTGCATGACAGGGAGTATGCAAGGAAACTGTGTCCCTGAGCAGTAGGAGTGTGTGTGTTCATGTGCCAGCTCCGGGGGTGAGTTATGCCCATAGAGGGGATGAGTGATTCCCAGTGTGAGAGCCAGAGCCAGGCAAGGGAACAGCAGGGACAGGGGGCTGGAGGGGGTGGGGGCACTGGCAAGCAGGAAAGACCAAGGGGAGCATGAAAGAGGGATGTGTGAGGGTGGCTGTGAAGGGGTGTGTGTGAAAGACAGAGACGGAAGAGACTGGCACCCAGTATACACGAAGACCATCTCCATCCAGCTGGCTGGCTGGGCTAGCTCCCCAGAAGGCGGCCCCAACTCCTTCCTTTGACAGGGACACCTCTCCCCTCTAGCCTCCCTCTCCCTGTCACTTTCATTTGCTGGGGAGAAGAATCTAGTAGTCCCCAGAAGAAAAAGACAACAGAGCAAAGTAGTGCTCAGTCTGTCTGGCCTTGGGATGAAGACCGGCTTCAGGGTCCTGAGCATCCCCAGGAATGCCCCTGGCCCCCCAGCCTTGAGCATTGCAGCAGCAGAGGCAGCAGCAGCAGCAGCAGCAGCAGAGGAGCTGTAACACCCGGGGTAAGCCCTTCTGAGCTTCCCCTGCTTCAGGGCTGAGGAGCCAGAGGGAAACACCAGCTGGGGAAGACACGAGGCCTGCCTCTGGTGGCAGAAGGAAGGGGAAGCCCTGTTGAGGATGCCCTCGAGTACCACCCTCCACCCCTACTTCAGCCTCTAGCCACCCCAGGTTTAGATGGCCCAGCTAGTAGAACTCACCACCGAGAAGTTGCTGACGGAGCAGTGGTGCCCACTGAAGTTGCAGCTCTTGAGCATATCAGCAAGCTGGTGGCCAGTGCGGTTGAGGATGTCTACCATGTCAGGCTCTGGGTAGCGAAGTCCAGCTGCACGGTGCCCATCCCGGTCTTTGGGGGGCAACCCTGTCAGGTTGGCCAGGTGGAAGATATCAGCATCGCTGAGTGCCGAATGCCGGAATCGGTTGATGTTGCAGAGGGTGACAGCGGGGAAGCCCGCCACTGGGGCTGGGGCAGCAGGGTCCACAGCTACCAGGTGAGGCCGGGTCAGGTAGCCCCTGGCCAAGCTGGCTGCCTGATATAGGAAGGCAACCAATGAGGTGAGTAGGGCCAGTGCCCACAGGGTTCTGCGCAGTCCATGGGGGCCTGGGGCACAGGCCCGGCCCAACCCATGCAGAGTGCTGGTGCTGGCAAAGGTGGCCAGGTCCCGAGGGGCTGCTGGCCCCTGAGCAGCCCCCAGGAGGCTCTGCTCATCCCCTGCCTCTTTCTCCTTGGGTTTTGCATCCTCCTCAGCAAATTTGATTTTGCACACAATCTCGATCGGCATCTGTCCCCGGCTGCTGGGACTGGCCAGAGCCTCACTGCTACTGTCCCTCCCTGGACAGCAGCCCTGGTGCCCTCCGGAGTGGTGGTGGTGGCAGCGGCTGCTCTTCTAAACTCAGGGCAATCAGGAGGAGGATGGGGACAGGGTGGGGGCCCGATGTGGGGGCGTCACTCCCACTCCCAGCAGCTCCGCAGCCCCGTACTGCCTCTGCCGCTGCTGCCTCTGCTGCCGCTTGTCTCTCTCCTCGATCGTCTCCTTGTGGCTTCCCTTATCAGCACCAGCACAGCTGTCAGCCCCTGCGTGTGTCCCTGCGAGCAAGCGAGTGAGCGAGGGAGCAAGCGCTGCTCCGCCACGCCGCGCAGCCCCAGCCGCTCCGCTCAGCATGTGCTCTGGAGCCCACCCCGTGCTTAATAATTCAGGACATGTCAACAGCGTTTCACCGTCGGGCACTGGCACGGGAGGCAGGAGCCAGGCCAGGGAGGGAAGACCCTCCTGCTCTACCCCAGCTCAGGATGAGGATGGAGAGCCCAGCATTAGGGGTGCTTCTGAAACTCTTGCTGTACCTCAGTCAATTGTGGGGACCCCAGAGAGCCCAGTCTCAGGCCATTCAGGGAATAATGCTCCCCTCCCAGTGCTCAGCCCACTCCTTGCCACTTTTCCTGGACCACACCCCACGAAGGGTCAATCACCTCTGTCCCTCAGCTCCTGGCTTCCCTGACTTCTGACTCCAGCCTTCGGCTAATCTCGCTGTCCCACTCACAGCAGCTTCCAGCAACTCCTTGAGAGAGCCACTTGTTTGAATGAGGGAGGGAAAGAAGGGGAGGGCAGGCAAGATTAAGCGACAACTGGCTTCACTCAAGACTCTTCTTCCTCAGAGCCTTGATGCTGATTTCCACACCCACCACACCCCTGTCCATCCCAGGAGGGGTACTGCCTCCCTTCCTCTGGCTTTGCCCCCAAACCCGATTCTACTCATTCTTGTGACTGGGACGAAGGCCACCCTGGCTGACTTGCTCATCTGTGGCCATTTCACTAGTCCTGTGCTCTCCAAACCTCTTGCTATCACCAGGCTTGGGGAAAAGGGGTGGGGGCTGCATGAGCCAGGCTAGGGAGTGAGTGAAGAGCTCAGAGGGGGTGGGGGTGGGGGATAAAGAGCCCAGAGGGCTCATCAGAGGGAGTGGGAGCTTCAATGGAAGTGCTAAATTAAGGAAATCCGTGCCAGGAATGCCCTGTCCACTGGCAGAGGCAGGTAGGGAAGTCCTGCAGGCTGCTATCTTGGAGGAGGATTCGGACACATGGGCCATCACCAGAGGAGATGGAAGCCCCTCTTGGTTCACTGGGGTGGGGGAGGACGTTGGTACCTCCTCTTGGGTGTATCAAGAATGGCCCACTTGTGCCCCCCGGGGGTGTGTGTGTGAAAGTGTGAATCCTCCTGAGGGGAGGAAGCACTTGTCCTGGGAGGAAAGGGGGACTGATTAATCGGGGCACTAATGAGCAGCAGGGAGAGGAAGCTCAGAGGGGAGGGGGAGGAGGCTCCATCGATCCAAGCCTCAGAACCAGCAGCTAAAAAAAAAATAAATAAATAAATAAATAAAAAGTGAGAAGGGAATCGATCTGAGGGAAACGGCAGCTGCTGGGGATTAGAGCCCGAGGTCCACGAGCTACCCAGCGGCCACCCCTCCCCTGCGTCAGGCTGGCCCCCAGGGAAGGTCCTAAGTGTGGTTCCCCTTGTGTTCAAGTCGCTGCTCAGCTCATCCTTGCTGCAAGGCTAGGGCGGGCCCCTGGTGAGGGTCACCCCAGTGTGGAATCCACCCACACACCAGGTCCTAGCCATGCATGGTGCTCTAACTAGAGGTCCCCAACCTTTCAGCAAAGTGGTTTCCCAAGGCCCCACAGCTGGGTTTACCCAAAGCTTCCCAGGAGTCTGGGTCAGCAGGCTCCCACAGCTGGGGAGATAAGACCTCTAGGGACAGGTTCAGGTGTGGCTTCTTGCTGGGACACAGCAGGAGAAAGCAGAGTTGGCACTGGCAGAGGTGCTGAGCTCCTGTGCAACGGTCCAAGAGACCCCAGACAGCTCCCTCTCTGCCCCTACCCTGGTAGGTACTCTCCCCTCCCTATTGGACTCCCAGACCTTTGCACAGTCCCCACCTCCCACCCACCCCACCCCGAGTTACACACACCATCCCTGCTTTCTTTCTCTGGCTTCCCTTTTCTCCTAATATCGATTTTTCTTTACTGGGTTTTTTTTTTTAAAAAGGTGATTTAATTGCTTTTTTAAGGTTACCTCAGTCTGGGGCTCTGCCAAGAAAGTGGGATCTGCCCCCCAATCTCTCCCCAGCACCCACTATTGCCTTGACACCCTGTCTGCTATCTGCTGGGATCTCGGGGTCAAGCTGTCTCCACTGCACACTGACCTCCATCATGAGCCTGGATAACACCCTCTTCTCCCTTTCAGGTCAGCAGGGACTCTTTCACCTCTAAAAGGAAAGAGGTTGGGTGGTAACTGAAGGGGGGGTGGCTGTGGGGGAACTCCAGGCCACTGGAATGAAGCAGCAGTTTGTTACATGCAGACGCCCACCATTGCCCGGTGGCCAGCTGTCTCTAATTGTCCCCGAGTCCCTACAATCCAGTCTCCCTGCCTCTGGGAATCTGGTTATGCTCCGTGGGGGGGCCCATCCTTCCAGCCCATCTCTTGGTGTTTTCCACTCCTCCCGGGTCCCTTCTGGCCCTCTTCCTATTCTTCCACACCCCCTTCGCCTCTGGCCCTGTCCCCTCTTCCCCCTCTCCCTGCTTCCCTGCCTGCCTCCTTCTCTGCCCGGCTGCAGTTGGGTGATAATCTCCCTCATTTAGCCTCCCGGCTGCTTCCCCGGCTCATTGCCCAGCTGGTCCCTGGGGCCCGGCCCAGTTTCTTCCCCACCCCCACCCCCAGCCCTGCGCCCAAGCTCCCTCAGCCCCTCCCTGTTTCTCTCACCCATTCCCTGGGGACCAGCAGCCCCTTACAGGGCGAGGATACGAAGTTGAAGGGAGCTGGCCAGGACTAAAGCTGGCTGAGCAAGTGGGAGGGGCTTCTAGGGATGCCGGAGCTGGGTGTGTGGGGAGGGGTTGCTGTTTAGGCAGATGTTAGCCCCACTCAGGCTCTTCTACTCTCCAGTTATCCCCACTTCTCAGATTTGTTCACAGCTTAATTCTCCCTGCCCTGGGATGCGGATTAGGCATCCTGAAACTGGGAAAGAGAAGGGTAGCGAGAGAGGCAGGCAAAGGTAGAGTATTAGAGTACACTCGGATAGGCATCCCGGGAAAGGGGTGGAGGCCACAGGGAGAGCAGGATGGATTAGCCAAGGGGTGCTGGAAGGATGCTTAGAGTTTTTACTTGAGCAAAATGTCCCAAAGAGGAGACCCAGGCCTCTCAGGACTCAACCTGAAGGGTTCTCAGGGAACCTCTTCACAGCCCAGGGATACCCCCAAAGGAAGCTGTTTCTGCTCCTTCCTGTCATTTGTGGGCTCCTGGCTCCACCACAGGCTAGCTGGCTCCATTCAAAACTATACAACCTTTGAACCCTTAAGGAGCAGTCTATAGATCGAATCCCCAGCCTCCTGATCCCTAGGGACACCTTCTTGCCACTCGCAGCAGCTCAGAAGCCTGGACCTGATGCTGACCAGGGGGTGGGAAACCAGTGTGGGACAGACGTGGGCGGGAAGGGGCAAGGATGGGGGGGGGATGGCGGCGCTGGCCCAGCCAGGCCTGGCTGGCGAGCGAGCAGCGGTGACAAACGGGCTGTGCGGGGGCCGAGGGGCGGGGGGCGGACGGCGGCTGATTTATCTGGGTTATTTATGCCACGGACGAGGCAGGAGAAGCGGTTAATGAGAGTCCCGGCGAAGGGGGATGGGGAGGCCCGGACGTGATCTGAGGCAACTGAAGAGGGTTAGCGTCCCACCGTCAGGCCCTGCCCCCCATTGTCACCAGTACTCTCTGCACCCCCACAAGGCTTTCCCTGGGCTATCCCAGGGAAGCGCGTGTTCCCGTCTTTCGCTCACATTATCTATCCCTATTTGGGTATTCTCAAGAGGAGGTCTGTGGTCGCCAGGAACGGGGAGGCCGGGGTTCAAGATTAGAGGAATCTGGAGGAGCTAAGGAGGGGACGTGGAAAGGGAGACCAGGAAGAAGATACAAATCCTGTCCGGTCAGAAACCCACGAAGTTTGAGGGATCAGTGGAGAGGGTCGAGATAGAACAGGAAGAGTGGGAGTGGGTGGGCAGCCTAGACTCTGAGCTGAGGCTGGAAGAGGGCAAAGGGCCGTCAAGCACAGATCTGGTGCCAGCCAGGGAGCCCCGAGATAGGGACCTGAATGACAGAGAGGCTAGGCAGGAGGGGGCGCTGGTCAGAGAGCAGAGGGAGCAGGAAGGAGAGAGCGAAGATCCCGAGAAGGAGGGGGGGAGAGGGCTTTGCTGCAGCGAAAGCTGCTGGGAGTAGATAAGGCGGCACAGCAGCAGGAGGGATTAAAGCTCTGAGGGGCATGGGGGTGGGGGTGGGCGCCGTGTGGGATGATGGGAGGGGGCAGGGAGGAGAGAGTTGAGGGCAAGACACCCGGCCAAGGAGACGAGCAGGGAAATGAGATCTTTGAGGAGGCAGGTTTAATCAGGGGCTATTAACTAGGAAGGGAGAAAGAAGAAACTCTTGATCATCCGTTCTGGGAAGGAGGACTTTTCCTGTCATGGAAAGAATCCTGCACCCCACACAGGCCTGGGGTGGCGGAGCTAAGACAAGCGATGAACTGAGGAGGGTAGAGGACTACCGGATAATAGGGTTGGCAGAGGCTGGCCCCGGGCTCAGAACAGGTCTGGAGACTGAAAGCACGCAGCGCCTCCTTGCGGTAGCCGGTGGAACACAGGCGAGCCACAGGGATAGGTCATTGGTGGTCCACTGGCATGGAGACCCCACCTGTCTAGGGATGGGCCTCCTTAAGGGGAGGGGTATAATCTTGGAAGAAGGGTAAGTTGCTTCCCAGGGTGAGCCCCCGGGACCCCGAGGCATTCTTGATCATCCCTTGCCCTATAGAAGGATGTTCTTGGTGCCAATGAGATCCCCTGCTCCTCCAAACCTAGCCTAGGACAATTCAGAGATGGCCTTGGTGACAGAAGGCAGCCTTAGGCAGAAGGAAGGGAAAGAGAGGGGGCTGCGGGAGGGGAGCGGGGGTGGCAGGCGGGGCTGGGTAATTGCGTGTTTGCCGGTCTCAGTCTCTGCACACGAGGGAGCGTGTGTTGGTGGGTGTTGCTTCACTTTGAGGAGTATCTGTTGGCAGAGGTGTCAGTGTGTCTATCTCAGGGGTCTGGGCTCTCCTTGGTTCCCACCCCCTTTGTGTTTTGGGGAGCATGGCTCTGGGCACACCCAGCTGTGTTCCGTGCTGATGCGGCAGATGTAGCGGGCCCCAGCTGTGCCTGCTTCCCAGAGAGGGGGAGGGGGGCTGCAATCTGCTCCCCCATAATGGCTGCTAAGTGCCA